CGGGGGATTGTGGAAGCCCCCTCCAGTTGGGGGAGACATCCGTTCCCCTTGGCTGTGGGTTGTACCAGTTGGCAGAGGCAGCTCTGTAAATCCAGGCCAGACCAAAATGGTGCCGAGAGGGCCACAGTATTGTTTAGAAAACCGAGAGAGAACCTCTGCAAAGACGGTGCTGAGCTGGGGAGCCTGCTGCTGTTCCTCACAGGTCTACGGTGGGCCCGCTTCGGACGGAGAAGAAGTGTTCCCTGAAACACATGTCTTTTAAAGATATTTTCCACCCCACCCTCAACCTCCCCTGGGAAATGCTTGTGTTTAGTCATCCCTACAACAGGGGCTGAGTCAGCAAAGTCCAATTTCACCACCGCTGCTTCCCAATGGTAACCGAAGGAGAGCCTCCAGGGGAGCGAGCGCGCTGGGCTGCCTCATTTTGACAGAATCTGATGGGGAAGCTGCAGGCCTTCTGGATGGACCTCATGTTGGTGGGGAACAAAACGGCACACCGGCATTTTAAAAAGGCAGCTCTCATTGAGTCGACTGCTCCTCCTGGCACCTCCATGGGGGTCAGAAGGGAACTGTGCTCTGTGGAGTTGTCACTGGCTCAGTGGTTTGTTGTTGTTGTTGTTGAAAGCAGGCATTGCTTCTGAGGTTCCTCTGGGTGGACGCCACCTTCCAGCCTTTTCGTCAGCAGCTGAGCGCATTTTCCAATTACACGAGTGAGAATTCGGGATCTAGAAGGGATGGTCTGGTTGCTTCCCAAGACCAGTACGATGTGTTGGCCTAGAACGTAAGTCTTGGCTGGGTCCATATTTTTTCTAAGTGTCTATGGGGGCAATTCTCCCACCTCTCTGGGTCTTGATATCCTCATCCTTAACATCGAGGTTTGGATCAGTTCATCTCTAAGGGCTCTTTCCTGTTCTCACGTTCTGTGAAACTGTCTAGGACAGATGGCGAGCCATTTCTTTGCCAATTTAGCCAGCCAAAGAGACGACCTAACCCATTATGAGAATCTGGTCCAGCATGTTATCCATAGGTGGCAAAATATCTTCCCGGGGCCCAGCCATCATCTCTTTGGTTTCTTTTCTTTGGGACTCCGTGGACACAGAGAACCCCAAGGAACAGTCTTTGCTAGAAATCTTGTCACATCTCAGCGCTTTCAAATCAGAGTTCTGTGAAGCCTTCCTCCAATTTGGGAGGCAGTGACTCAGGTCTCAACAAGCACATTTCCTCCCTCATCAGGTACTCCCCTATCCTTTCTGTCGTTTTCACTGACTTGTGATTGTAGGGAGACAAAGGCTGGCAGAGGTGCCCCATTGGACAGCCAGTTCCTTTTCTTTTCTTTTTTTTTAACAGGTTATTGGAATTTTAATACACTTAGGTATTGACATTAAAAAGTTTTGAAATCAGCATTCAACACACTAGATTTCATGTTAATATTTACATTTATAGTAAAATAAAGTTCTGCAAAGTTAATTTTTTTTTAACGTTTCATTTCACTATTGGTCTAGCTCAGTGGTTCTCAACCTTGCTAATGCCGACACCTTTTCATACAGTTCCTCATGTCGTGGTGGACCCCCCAACCATCAAATTATTTTTGTTGCTACTTCATAACTGTCACTTTGCTACTGTTATGAATCGGGCAGCCTCTGTGAAAGGGTCGTTCGACCCCCAAAGGGGTCAGGACCCACAGGTTGGGAATCGCTGGACTCTAGCTGTTCACAGTCTACAAAAATGGCAGCAATTCCTTTTTTAAGCAGTGGACTTTCCCTAAGTGAAATGCTAGGAGAGGTCACCCAATATAAACAAAAAATGAAGCTTTGCAAGTGTCCACTCTTGTTAAAATCCTTAGGGTCCTAGCAGTCTGAGAACCACGGACTTAAAAAGTTAACAATAAACAATGAACAAGATTTCACTGAAAAAGAAAAACTGGGAAGTTTACTCAATAACCAACAGTTTCTAAGCTACTGTTTTTCCAAAAGCTGTATGGCCTTCGATTTTATCACTCTTATTTTTATTAACCGTTTTATTGGGGGGCTGTTACAAATCTTTTGACAATCAATCATTCAATTGTATTAAGCACACTTGTGCATATGTTGCCACCAGCATTTCCAACACATTTTCTTTCTACTTGAGCTCTTGGTATCAGCTCCTCTTTTTTCCCCTTCTTCCCCCAACCTCCCACCCTCGTGAATCCTTGATCAATTAGATATTGCTTTTTCGTGTCTTACACTGTCCGTTGTCTTTATTCACTCACATTTCTGTTATTTGTCGCCCTGGGGGTGGGTGGGCTATATATCTAAACTTGTTATGGGCTCCCCCTTTCTGCCCCCCCCACCCCCCACCATCTCACTCCCCTCTTGATATCGTTACTCCCACTACTGTCCCTGAAGGTTTTATCTGTTCTGAATTCCATATGTCGAGACCTCTTATCTGTACCAATGTGTGTTTTCTGGTCTAGCCGATTTGTAGGGTAGAGTTGTGAAATGGCAGTGGGGGGTGGGGTGGGGAGGAAGCTTTCAGGAATTAGAGGAATGATATGTGTTTCATCGGTGCTATACTGCACCTTGGTTGAATCATCCCTTCCTTATAACCCTTCTGTGGAGGGATATCCAATTGTCTACAGATGGGCTTTGGGTGTCCACTCCAAATCCGCCTCATTCACATCAATAGAATTGTTTGTTTTGGATCTTTTGATACCTGATCCCTTTGACACCTCATGATCACACAGGCTGGTGTGCTTCTTCTATGTGGGCTTATTTGCTTCCCTGCTAGATGGCTGCTTGTTTAACTTCAAGCCTTTAAGACCCCAGGCACTATATCTTTCGATAACCGGGTACCATCCACTCTCTTTACCACATTTGCTTATGCACCCATTTTGTCTTCAGTGATCGTGTCAGGAAGGCGAGTATTAGAACAAAGTCTTCTTGTGTTTAGGGAGGCCTTGAGCAGAGGCCCAAAATCCGTCTGCTATCTCAATACTTTATATATAAATATATGTATATTAGCCTCTATCCCTTTCATTATAAATTAATATATTTACATATATACAGACCTATAGCTCTTCCTCTATGAATAGCTTTTGCCTCCTACTTCTTTCCTCTATTTCCTTTCACCTTCCTCCTGTCTCACTATAATACTCACCTTCCACTCGGATCTCAGTAATTCCTCTTGGATACATTGGACTTGATCAAGTCCCACCAGGCCTCCTTGCCATCAATTTTAGATCTCTTGTTGTTCCCTCATCCCTAAGTTTGTTGACTTCCCACTCTCCCTCCCTACCCTGTCCTCTTCAAAGTCCCCCTGAGGTCTGCCGGTCCTGTAGTTTTCTCCTCAAGATTGTTTGTCCTGCCTATCTTATATAGATAGACATAGGGTAAAAGAAAAAGAAAAACAAAAAACTGAAGATAGTTCCAGGTCTGTCAGCTGACCCTTATGAGTGTTTTCTAATCAGGTTTGATAAGGTGCCAAGTCCTGTCCCTTAAGTCAGAAGTCTGTTTCCTGAATTCCTTGGGGACTTGGTTACTTTGTTCCCCCTTGCTGCCCTGTTGCACTCCCTTTGGGTTTCACCCCATTGTGCATGGGGCAGACTGGGAACACTTTCCATACAGTGTCTCCAGTGCTGTCCCCCATAGTGGTATGGGTCAGTGAGGGGACACTTCTTATCTCATTGTGGGGCTGGCCCTATGAGGACAGCTAGTTCTATAGAAAGGAGAAAGTCACTTAATCTAGACTAAACACGTCATAAGACTTGTTTTGGGCCATAGAGAGACCTGGACAAAAGAGAGGGGGTGGCCCAGAGTAACACAGCCCTCTGGATATCTGACTCGTTACACCTGTTTATGTACTTCTGATAAGAAAAATGAACATATCTTGAGCATTTAATACAAGCTCAACACTGTTCTCAGCACTTCTTTGTGATCTCATTTAATTCTCACAACAGTGCTCACTGTGTCAGCAGTACTACTGTTTTTACTCACACTGTGTCAGCAGTACTACTGTTTTTACTCATATTTTACAGATTAGGAAACTGAGGTCCATAAGAGTTAATCAACTTGCTCAAGATTATGCAGTTGGTAATCAGGTGAACTAATATTGGAACCCAGGACTGTTGGCCCAGGCATTTCTGTACTGAACCATCATGCTTCTGAGGGGAACCAGTTTTGTGGGAGAACTGTGTCTGGTACAAAGGGTCTGGCTGCTCTGGGACTGCCGGCCATTTTCTCATTATTTCCATGGTATTCTGTTCCCCTTCTCACAGACAAAAGAGCTTTCTCATATAAAGCTGAAAATATTGACTTGTAAAAATGGGTGCATAAGCAAATGTGGTGAAGAAAGCTGATGGTGCCTGGCTATTAAAAGATGTAACATCTGGGGTCTTAAAGGCTTGAAGTTTAACAAG